AATGGATGTACCAGATGAATCTTCCTCATGTATCCAAACGGATACTCTGATCTTAGAGAGGATGGATGTACGAGCTGGAGTGCAAAAGAGACCTGACAAAGGCAACTGAAGTAAAAATTAAGTGTGTGATTCCAAGTTAGGAAGAAGAGGATGTTCCCAAGGAATTCCTATAAGCCTTCATCTGCATCAGAATAAAAAGAGAGATTGAAAAGAGTCAATAAAAGGTCACCTCTGATTGTATTTTATTAGACATTCACACAGACAGGCAAAGGGAATGATAAATAAAAGAATATGAATCCTGCATTTGGGTACTTTTTAAGGGCAGATTTTAAGATGTATGAAGTACATTCCTAATCCAGCTCTTCCAGCACACTCCAGTTCCTTGTGTCCTGTCCAGTCAGAGGGTGCAAACAAATGAGTAAAGTATGTATCTCCTCAGGGAATATGTTAAAGTAATTAAAGTTTCTAGCCACATGACAGCAGGCAGAAAACCATGGCAGCTTTACCAGCTAGCTCTGAACTCATGGTTTCTGAGAAGGTGAAGATCACACTGCCAATGAAGAGAGGGGTAAATGTGCATTTGCCAGAGAGCAATGCAAACACAAGCATCAAATTCTAGTACCTGAAAGGAAAAGGGAAAGCATATGATAAAGAAGGAAAGAAAGAAAGAAAGGAGCCTGACTGCTATGCAATGATTTCAGCCTGAATTATCCAACATCTCACATTAAATAAATCACTAATTAATTTCTATGCCACCACCCCCAGAAAGCAACAGCTTCTAACATGACTGCCAGAAGTTTATTGGGCAAGATGTGAGAGCTAAATGCTCACCCAGAGGAACAGGAAGCAGTGTCGTGTTTCCAAGACAGAAAAGGTTTCACCCTGCAATGCGTGACCTCACTGGAGCAGGGAAAAGCAGCACAGAGACAATCACCCACCCCAGCAGAATTCCAAGTCACAGATTCCCTTCCATTACTGGTCTGCGGGGTGGGACTCCGAGAGACATTAAGCTCGGTTTCTGTTCTGAGAAATCCCTGCAGTAGCGAGAGCTTTCCATCCCAAGAGACATTCCTCCAGTCCAGTACCAGAAGCCCGTGCTGAGCTGCCTCCGCTCCTTCCCCTTTAACCCTTTTTTCTCTTTCTCGAAGGTTTTGCTGAACCCTGGTGCCGCTGACAGGAATTGCCACAGGCAGAGCAGGAAACCCTTTTAGTTTCAGTATCGCATTTTAAAACCTTCCAAAGCAGATTTATGCTTCCCTATTTTCCATGTCACTGTACTTTTCATATGTAGAAGCAGTAGCCTATTCTGTTTAGCTGGGCCTCCTGGACTCAGATGCTCTTCAGGCCATGCTGACAACTACAAATCATATAAACACATTTAATAATGGTATAGCTGCAAAATATGAACATGGGGTTCATGAAGCAAGCACTGGACTAGGAACCAGGGGAGCTGGACTGTACTGCTAGCTCTGCTGTGCAACAAGTAGCCCACTCTGCTGTCCCTCTGGTTTTCCATCTGTAGAATGATTACAGAAGACATTCACCACTTTATAAGGGTTTTTGAGCACTATACATTTAAAGGATCCTGTAAGGACAAAGCACTGGCACCGGAACTCTGATACCAACATCAGAGTTAAATGACTGTGTAGACTTCTGAGTTTTTACAAAGAGTTAATTCATGAGTAGGTGACGAGTTCAGTAACAAAAAATTTGAGTCATTTACTTCTGCCCTGCCTCTACAGGAGAAGCACAGCTGCAGCTGCATTTTAGGACAAGGAATTAATTTACCCCTAGGCTGTGCTTTGGGAAATCTTACTTTGCCACTTCCTGTTAAGATAGTGCCCAAGAATATACTAGTAATATGGGGATCAAATAGAAAAAAAAACAGTGCACAATGCAATACTGGATAATATAATCTCTGTATTAAATTTACATCTTCAAAAGGTTGTGGATTTTTTTAAAATACTCAATTACCTACAAACTATGCTTAGGGCTGCTGCAGAGATCTAAAAGAACATACAAGACAGAAAACAGGGTATCATTGTGTACATATTACTCTGGGGAAGCTCAGGCATAGACAAGGTAAGACATTCTTCCAGACATGCCAACAGTGAGGAGTTCAGAAAGCAGTTAACTCCAGATCCCTCTTCTTAACCAACATACCTCATGCTCTTTCCCCAGCACTGAATTTCTCTAAGTGCACTAAAACCTTACTAAAAACATGGAAGATTCAGTGCATGTAAGGAAGGCAGGACAGCACAGAGATTAATTTCTTACTTCTATTTGTCTCATAGTTACCCAAACTGCAGAAACAATTTTGCTTTAGTTACACCACTAAAGAATTCCCTTTCCCATTAACTGTATTATTACTGAGTAATATACATAGTAAAGGTAATTATACCAGAATCAGATATTGTGAAGATAAATACTCTAGGTAACAAGATGAAATCTCCTCTTAATTGCCACTTCTCTAATGAAGACAGAGATAATCATGCAAGCTTCTTGGCAGAGTGACAGTGTGTGAACCTCTCTGTCAGCCTGGCTGACAATGCCTCTGCCCTGACCTGATGTGCTACCAATTACTCTTCAGAGCATCTACCAACTGTTTAGGTGCCACTGATGTTATTGGAGAAGCCTGCAGGGTCTCAGGGCAGCACACTGCGGCCAGTCGGGGATCACACACTCCCTGTCGCCTAGTTCTTGAACTTTTTAAAGTTCAAAAGCAGGAAGGGCTGACCTAGGTGGGATGCAACCCATGGGACTGCGAGTACTTCACTGGGATGAAATGGTGCCCGAGGCCTCGCACAACACAGAGCTGTGAGCGCCTGTCTAGTAACTGGGGTGCGGGAGGAGCCCCAGGGCAGCCTGGGCACCCCCCAGAGCTGGCAGCAGGGCCAGACGGCGCAGGGGCTCGGACTCCACCGCGGGCACCACTCTCAGGCCGGGCAATGCCTCTTGAGTTGGGCCGAGGCGCTAAGGACAGCGGTGGCACCCACCGCGGGTGTGCCCGCTCCTCACCAGCTCCCTGGTCCCCCCCAGAGCCCCCCTTACCTTCCCGCTGGGAGGCACGGCCGCCCCCCGCCCCGAGCAGCGCCAGCAGCGCCCAGGGCAGCAGCAGCAGCGCCGGGGGCTCCATGGAAGCGGCTTCTCCGCCGGGCAGGC